CCCCCCCCCCCCCCCCCCCCCATCATAATGATCTTGTAGATATTTGTACTTAACCAATAGGTATTCATTGAAGTGTAATCACTGAACAACAGTATGACAGTGTTGTGGTGTTTTCCTACCAACTCAATAATTCAAACGATCCACTGTCAGGATGTCCAGAAGCCCAGGAGCAGCAACCAGACTTCTCCCTCCCTGAAGTTGTCCAATGGCTACATTCTTCCTGAGGGCAAACTGACGCCCAACGCCCTGTTTGTTGGTGGGATTGACATGAAGGTAAAGATCAGATGTGTTTAGTTCATATATTCCACCTGGTAAAACTGAACAACTGTCTTTTCCAGCTCTAAAATCTGGGACCCCAAGCTCTAATGACAGCTTAATTGGTTTATATTTAGTTTTAGGTTTATGTCTTAAGCTTATTCATTTACTGTTTTGAGTGTGAAACCATACAATTGAAATGGTTAAAAAAAAAGCTTTGCTTGCTGCCCACATATTTACAGAACTAACAATGCATTCATTTGAAAGTTTTATTCTACTGTAAATTAGAATTTCAATGCCCGAGCGTCTGTGAATGTTTCTGATCTTCAGGTGGACGAAAATGAAATGCGGGACTTCTTTGCGAGATATGGTCCTGTTAAGGAAGTAAAAATTATCACATATCGTGGAGGGATCTGCAAAGGGTGAGCAAATGAACAACTATGCATTTGTGTGTTATTGTGCTGCATTCGTGTGACCTGCAATGAGTTATTCATGAAGCATGAACACATCTAGTCCTTTTTCTCAGAGAGTATGTACTCCTGTATTCGTCAGTTAACTTGTGTGTGGGAGTAAACTGGGGCAGTTGTTTATTTGCATATCAGTTTTAGGAGTATTCATTAGCTTATTTCATAACTTGGTCTGACTTGTCTTGTGTCCTCCTAGGTACGGGTTTGTGTACTTCGATGACGATGTCAACATTCAGTCAATCGTTGAGGTGAGTGGATGTCTGTCAGACTGCTGTTCTCGTACTTTTTGTCTCCAACTGAGAGTAATATTTCCTCTGTTCATATTTTTTTTTTTTATTATAGCAACAGATCAGTTTTAAGGGTCGGAAACTCAAGCTGGGCCCTGCCATCATGAAAGAAAGGAGCTCTCGTATGTATTCCGATACACTAAAAGAACTGGATGTTTGGTTGGCAGTGAAAATATAAGATCTCCCCACTAAATGTATTTTCAAGCTGTTGTGTCATGTTTGTGTCATGTTTGTGTCATCTTTTTCTTCATCTAGGGTCCATGCCGTCCCGTCTGGTGGGCCCGGCTCCCTGGATGAGCCCCACTCAGTACTTCTACTGCGGCTGTTGCTCACCCATGGGGGGGGGTATGGCACAACCTTCGCCCATCCTCAATGGAGGCAGCCCCTACAATCAGGTAACACACACGCATTGCCAAGCTATCAAGAATGTCCCTACAGCAGGCAGGAAGTAAACGCACTGTGTGTGGCATTTGTAATGCTGTCACACACACCTTTCTGTTAAACCATGTGAAATGAAATACATCTTAACTTTCTCTGAGGGGAAGTTGGCTCATTCTCACAGCCAAGAATAGAGGTGCAAGCTGGAGAACAATCTATCAATTTACTTTCAATTTACCAGAAAAGATATCTCAACATAAAGTTGGCTATGGCATGATTAACGTAATTGCTAATAATATCCAAGTCTGTGAATTATTCAGACAATACCGACTGTCAAAGTCATTAGCAGTTAAATTGCAATCCTTGCAAGGACACTTTACTTAACAGTTACTTATTGCTGCAGGCTTTAATCAGTTTCGTGATTTTAAATATGCGTTTTAACATCTAATGTTCTGTCTCCCTTAGCAGCCGTACTCTTACCCCAACTTTGGAGGGGTCATGATCCCACAGATGCAGATGAACTACGCACAGAATGCCTACGCCTACCAGGTACACACACACACAGTTAGACTAATTAGTTAACAGCATCCCGTGCAAGGTCTCCGAGGCATTGCATATATTCTGCTGAATGCGAGATGAAGGGTTCAGCCTGGCTTAGAATCACCTGTTCCTGCTTGCCCCTCACTCAACACCCCCCCCAATCTCCCATGGAGGCGAATCTGGCTTTGTCTGTTGCCATCTGTTTCACTGCTGACCCATCTTCCCCCACACACAGTACACTCCCCCTCACTGGATGGCGGACCAGCGGACACAGCCTGTCAATCAGGTGACTCTTTAGTAGATGTCAGTATAATTAAGTTTCAAAGCAACGCAAATCACTTCACATTTGAGATCCTCGTGAGGCCAGTGGGAGGAAAATGTTGATGGAGGCTTTAAAAATCCATGGGATTAAGTGGAATGTTGTATTATTTAATAGTGTTCATGGCAAGAAATTGTCCTCAAACTGCAATGTCCATGCAGGCCACTAGGTGGTGTCGTATGGCCACTGTTCACATCCTGAAGAACAGACTGCACCAACAATGAGTTCTTAGAAGAATGATAAAAGAGCCTGCTTTATGGCAGTTGTTTATGTCTTTGAAACATCTTTCTGAGTATTCTCAATAATCTCTTTGTGATGTTATGTTAATGTCTGTTTCCAGAGCTTTGTTGACTGCGGAGTCCAGACGATGATGACTGTGCTGTAGCCACTGAGCCAGGTAAGAATTACTTCAAACATACCAGGGATACGCAAGTATCCTTTTCCCCCCCAAATTAACGTGTATAAATTATATGTTTAAACGTGGGAAAACCTGCTAAAAATAGGCGATGGACCCCGTTCCCATTGCCAATAGCCAATAGATCTCTTCAAACTCTTTGCCGACTAATTTGGAACGATGTTGGAGCGAAACAAAGAGCCCCAAAAAAAGGTAGAAAATGAGCGTGTCCACCCGGGTGTCATGTTTTCATCACTGTCGTTCAGTGCTGGAGGCGATAAATAGTTGCGACTACTGCCGAGCTTTTCCCACTAAAGACAAAAGAAATATGTTAGTGGGTGTTGGTGAGTTTGTCCGTTGGGAAGGGGGCTGAGGTAACAATGTGCCACGTAGGACCAAGCGTACACCCCGTTTCTCCAGAAGAAGGTAGTTAATCAGAGCAGTGAAGAGAAACCTGCATTCTGTCAGAGCTCCGTTGCACATGGTTGATCATCTTTAGCTGCTTCACAATTCTTTGCTCCTGCTAATAGTTTTTATCTGGCAAACACAGCTTTTAAAATAGACTAATCCTGGTATGGTGTGTGATTGAATGAGGGAGCTGTTGTTAACCTGTGATGTGTGTTTTCTGTCCTCTGCCCCCCTTTAGATGCACACTACAGTGAGACGAAATGCAGACAGGATGACATCTTGATGTTCCGGGTGGCTGGAAGCAACCCAACGGCTCTCCCTGCTTCCTAAGCGATGCCCTCCCCTCTTCTCCTCCCCTCCCTCAATTTCTTGAGACCCATTTTAACACCAGACTGCAGGAGCTCTCCACTTTAACTGTACTCGGTTTATCACAATCACTTTGATCACGACGGGTATGGACCACTGTCGTGTGGTCAGACCGCTTTTAACCCACATGGATCACAGTGACGGTCACACAGGGAGAGCAGAGCACCCTCACCACACCAGCTGTTTTTTGTTTATTTTCCTTTTATTTATCCTAAAAGAAAAAACGGAAAAGACTTTTAAGCTCACCCTTTGTGCCTATTTATGTTTTATTTTTGTAATTATTTTATGTTTGGTTGGTTGGGGTCTTTTTTAGCCTCTGCAGGGGCTCTGTGTACATTAAAGGTACATTTATAAATATATATATATTGTAACAATGTCATGACAGCAGTCGGAGTAGAATGCTACTTTAATTCCAGTTCAGATTTAATATCCTCTGATTAAGAAATTTCCATTAACTCGTCTACTACAGTATAAGGACACTTGGTCATTCCATTAATTTCAAGTACTCGTTTATTTTGTACTCTATCCTATTTAATTGGGTGTCGATTGAGGCAGTAAATGAACAGCAATGTTGTCGCATTGTTTGCGCCTCATCACTATCACTGACTTCTTGCCAGACTTTTTTTTAGTTGAGTTCCACAGAGCACACCGATCATCTGTTTCCAAACCGTCCCATCCTGTGACTGGGTGTCTCTCCAACGGTTCACACACTCGAGTACAATCGCAGCATCATTTCTTTTTCCCCCATTACTCGTCAATCAACTTACATTTTGGAAGGAACCCCAGGGGAAGGCTGTTAATCCACTTTGTAAATGAAGGACATGATTTAAAATAAGGTGCTCGCTGCTTCTTTGGGGGACATGGTTGACTGTACATGGTTCACTTCATACTGGTTGTTAACTGTTGTTTAACTGGGTTTTAATCTGGTCTCAGGTGATTTTGCACAAAGTATTTTACTGTCATTGTAAGAGTCAACAATGCTTTTTTATATATATATATATATATATATATATATATATATATATATATATAT